GGTATTTTTTCTTTTCTCTATGTTATATACATACATATGTAAATATATAGACACAGGCGATCACACCTGCCTGCCAATCACCTAATTACAGTCGTCTCTCCCCTTTCCCCCACCTCGTACCCTGTTTCAGGACAAAACAATCGAAAGGCTCCGCCAATCCTTAACAAAAGTTGAAACCATGAAAGGGAAGGCAGTCGGGAAAACAGACAGCGTGAAAACTGCACTAGAGCCTGCGGAGCAAGAAGCAGGAGCGGACACGGAGAGAGCCCGTCCCGTGTCAGACAGTGCCGCTGCCCAGCTCTCCGCAGCAAAGAGCTCCCTGGACGGTGTCTCAGGACGGGAACGAGAGGTTTTCATTCTTATTCCCATATTAAGATGAATTTGGTTGAGCTGCTAAATGCAGACTCCAAGTCACTTAGACAAAAGGGAATTTATTGAGTTCCAGAATCGAAGGCAACTTGAACTACCTAACTCTGGGAGGGCAGCCTTGCACCTGGGCCCCAGGATCAGCACCTGGAACCCCAAGAAATCTTTCTTGCCGTCCCTTCTTGTCATCTAAGCTGTGCAAGCTGGACTGTTTTCCAGTTGGTTTTCTCCACTGACAACCATGGAGTTTTTAGTCTAGTTTGTGACAGGAGCGATAATCCCAAGAAAGGGTCTTACTGGAACAGTTTAGGTCAAATGCGTATCCCTGGTAATGCACTGTGGGTAGGGATGGGATACGATGATTTTAGCTTAACCAATGACCAAGAAGGGAGGGTCCTGAGAGAGAAATGGAAGTGCAGAGAAGATGATGCGTGTCAGTTTGGAGGAGACATATGGTGGTGCTTCTAAGCTTACTTAGATTTTCATCATTTTTTAAAAACATTTATTTATTTGAAAGGCAGACTTACAGAGAGACAAAGGCAGAGAGAGAGAGAGAGGTCTTCCATCCACTGGTTCACTCCCCAGATGGCTGTAACACCCAGAGCTGGGCTGATCTGAAGCCATGAGCCAGGAGTTTCCTCTGGGTCTTCCACGTGGGTGCAGGGGCCCAAGCACTTGGGCCTTCTTCTGCTGCTTTCCCAGGCACATTAGGGAGCTGGATCAGAAGTGGAGCAGCCGGGAATTGAACTGGCGTCCGTAGAAGATGCTGGTGTTGCAGGTGTTGGCTTAACTCACTGCGCCACAGCACAGGCCCCTCCTGCCTAATTTTAATAATTTTAATGATAACACTTCCCTCAGTCATTAGACATCTTTTTTGTCCATTTCTAGTCTAAATTATTATGTTTCTGATTGAAGAGAAATGTTCTTTCCCATTTCTGCAAATTCTTGTTTAACTTATGTTTAATTTACAGTAGGGTGTTGTATGAAGCATGTTCCCTGTGTGTCACAGCTGTTTGGGGAGAGGGGGAGAGGGAGAGCATTTTTATCATCTGAGCAGTTTGTATGGTACTACCTTTCTTTTTCTTTTTAATTTTATTTGGATATAATTTGCCATTTATCGATTTGTTTTGAAATCCCTTGAATTGCTCTGGTCTCCCAGTGTGTCTCCCTCAGAGCTACCCAGAGGCAGGGTTTACTTACAGGTTTCTCAACTCAATACCGCCCTCTGCTGTTGGCCCAGCGAGTGCAGTTTTTAAAGTTTATTAGATGAGGGGCCGAAGCCATGGCTCACTTGGTTAATCTTCTGCCTGCGGCGCCAGCATCCCATATGGGTGCCGGGTTCTAGTCCTCTTCCAGTCCAGCTCTCTGCTGTGGCCTGGGAAGGCAGTGAAGAATGACCCAGGTGCTTGGGCCCCTGCATCCGCATGGGAGACCAGGAGGAAGCTCCTGGCTCCTGACTTTGGATTGGCGTAGCTCCGGCCGTGGTGGCCATTTGGGGGGTGAACCAATGGAAGGAAGACCTCTCTCTCTGTCTCTCTCTTTCTCACTGTCTGTAACTCTACCTGTCAAATAAATTTTAAATAAAAGTTTGTTAGATGAAGGCTTTTGTTTTAGTGGTGGGAGTTTACAAATGTCTGGTTTTGCAATACTCTCTTGTTCAAGACCTTGGATTTCTTTTTTGTCTTTTCCTTTTTTTCTTTACTTTTAAATTTAATTTGGAAGAATTACAGAGAGAGAGAGAGAGAGAGAGAGAGAGAGAGAGAGGTCTTCCATCTGCTGGCTCACTCCCCAAATGGCTGCAAAGGCCAGGGCTGAGCTAGATCAAATCCAGGAGCCAGGCGCTTCTTCCAGGTCTCCCACATAGGTGCAGGGGCCCAAGCACTTGCATTCCCATATACACATTAGCAGGGAGCTGGATCAAAAGTGGAGCAGCCAGAACTCAAACCTGTGCCCATATGGGATCCTGGCACTGCAGGTAGCGGCTTAACCCACTACACTGCAGCCCGCCAGCCCCTCTTGTTTGCTTTTTTATTTCCCTTTATTACTGAGCCTCCGATGGTCACTCACCGTGCCAGGCACTCCCCTTTCTCCTTAGAAACCCGGCCCTCCATCACTGCCTTCTGTGGTGCCCGAGTTTCCGAGCCCCTTTCTTTCCCCACCAGGTCTTAGATGTATTCTGTTCCCGCATTTATGAACTGCCCTGTATCTGGGTGTAAGATTGTCTGCTTCTACTGCAGAGGAAACCAGCAGCAGTCTCTGACGGATCTGCCTCCTTTCCCCTACTCAGGTGCAAATCCAAGTCTGGATATTCTCTACTTAGGCTCTAGGTGTGATTTACGGTGGTTTTATTTGCCCTCCCTGTTGATCATCATGGGCTTTGGAGGATGGAGGAAGAGATGTATATATTTGGGAGACTGCTATTATATCATACAGCAAATCAGAAGTCCCAAAAGTAGGGGCCAGCATTGTGGTGAAGAGGGTAAAGTCTCTGTGACGCCGGCATCCCATATGTGCGCCGGTTCATGGCCTGGCTGCTCCACGTCTGATCCAGGTCCCTGCTAATGCCCTGGGAATAGCAGCAGGAGATGCCCAAGTGCTTGCACCCTGCCACCCACATGGGAGACCTGGATGAAGCTCCTGGCTTGGGCCTGGCACAGCCCTGGCCATTGCAGCCATCTGGGGAGTGAGCCAGCAGATGGAAGCGCGTTCTCTCTCTCTCTCCCTCTTTGCCTGTAATTCTGACTTTTAAATAAATAACTATTTAAAAAATAAAAAAGAGAATTCCCCCAAGTAATTAACTTATTGATGAAAAATAACAAAGACCAGGGCTGGCGTTGTCGAGTACGGGGTGAAGCTGCTGCCTGCAGCACTGGCCTCCCTTATGTGCGCCCACTGGAGTCTCCACTTCCCATCCAGCTCCCTGCTAATGCACCTGGGAAAGCAGCGGAGGATGGTCCAAGTCCTTGGGCCCCTGCACCCACGTGGGAGACCCGGAAGAAGCTCCTGGCTCCTGGCTTCAGCCTGGCACAGCCCTGGCTATTGCAGCCATTTGGGGAGTGAAGCCAGTAGATGCAAGATCAATGCAAGATCTGTCTCTGTCTCTCTGTGACATTCTGCCTTTCAAATAAATAAAATAAATCTTAAAAAACCCAAAGAACAATAAAAAAATTTAGTTTACAAAAGTGTTAGAAATAAGAAATCTTCATAGGCTACTGAAATTTTAAATAATGAGTTTGTGTGTACGAGACCATTTTTCTAGCTTAAAAATACTGTTTTAATGTAGAATATATTTAATATCATTTTTCAGAACCAACTGGTGACCCAAACTAACAACATATTTTGATTTTTGTGGTGATTCTTTGTAGCTTGTCGACTTCCGAGAAACTATTATGAAGATGTTGGGGTTTAACATGAAAACAGCAAATAAGGAAATCATCAATCAGCTGAAGCTTATTATACAGATTTATGAAATATCTAACGAGCCGAAGACTGCGCCTGACGGGGACTCTGGACAGGAAAAGGAATGAGGAAGTTCTGCCCCCCCCTTCATACCAAGAGGAACTCAGAAGACGTAGGTGACCCTCCAGCCCCTTGAAGATGGCTACTTTATGAATAAAATGCACTGGAAAATTTTCACTTCAATCTCTTCTCTCCTATGATGATTGGCATTTCAACTTTTCTTTGTAATAATCCTTTTTATACATTTGTTTATGGCTTGGTGGGGATTGGTACTTGTAATATGAATGTAATAATTATCTAATTACGTTGAATTCTTTTTTCAAAAGATTTATTTGAGAGGTAGAGTTACAGTTAGAGGGAGAGACAGAGAGAGGTCTTCCATCTGCTGGTTCGCTCCCCAAATGACCACAACAGCCAGAGCTGGGCCAGGCTGAAGCCAGGAGCTTCCTCTGGGTCTCCCACATGGGTGCAGGGCCCCAAGCACTTGGCCCATCTTCTACTGCTTTCCCAGGTGCATTAGCAGGGAGCTGGATTGGAAGTGGAGCAGGCAGGACTCAAACCAGCACCTAAATGGGATGCGGGGCTGAGGGCAGTGACTTCACCCACAACGGCAGCCTCAACAGCCTGTTTCTAGAAGTTTCTTGGATGTTGAATCGCCCTTCAGAATCCAGGGGAAACTACATTCTAGAATTTGAATCCATCTCACGTATGTTAACAACAGAGCATGAAAGTACGAAATATCGGGGGGCAGAAAGATCACTGACGACCTGGCGAGTAGCCAGTAGAATGTTTTACATTTTTCATCTTCCCAGTATTTCAGTGTCTGCCAGTGTTTTCCTCTTTAAGTAATCTAACACATTTCATTTAACTTAGGAAACCGTTCCCCTTCAAGGTGTTTTAGGTTTACTCAAGATGCCCTTGGTGGAAAGATCAGAATCCAGGCAGTCCTGTGGGACGCGAGGCTTACTGTGGTCATTTCAGAGTCTCCTCATGGGATTCCTTTCATCCAGGTTACTCTGGACCTTACAAAAGTAGCACTTTGGAGGAAAATGATTATTTTGCATATTTAATCAAAAGATGAGAAATCACCTTCTGAGTGGCCACAGCCAGGATTCCCAAACTGTGTGCCAAGGCACCCTGGTGAAGTGCAGGAATCTGGGAAGGCCAGGGAATGTTTTCAAAAGGAAACATAGGGGCCGGCACCGTGCCGTAGTGGGCTAAGCCTCTGCCTGCGGCAGCTGCATCCCATATGGGTTCCGGTTTGAGACCCGGCTGCTCCTCTTCCAATCCAGTTCTCTGCTATGGCCTGGGAAAGCAGTGGAAGATGGCCCAAGTCCTTGGGCCCCTGCACCTGTGTGGGAGACCCAGAGGGAGTTCCTGGCTCCTGGCTTCTGATTGGCCCAGTGCTGGCCATTGCAGCCATTTGGAGAGTGAACCAGTAGATGGAAGACCCTTCTGTCTCTGTCTGTAACTCTACCTCTCAAATAAATAAAAATAAAATCTTAAAAAAAAAAAAAAGGGAACAGTGATATGTGACATCTGTCAGGAAAGTACATGAATACTAGCTCTAAATAGCTCATATGTTTTACAGAATTCTTGTTTGAAATGAAGAATTGCAGGCGGGGTGGGGTGTGCTTCCATCTGCTGGTTCACTCTCCAAATGGCAGCAACAGCCAGGGCTGGGCCAGGCTGAAACCAGGAGCTTCTTCCGGGTCTCCCACGCAGGTGCAAGGGCCCCAGTACCTGTGCCATTGTCCACTGCTTTCCCAGGTGCATCAGCAGGGAGCTAAACCGGAAGTTGAGCAGCTGGGACTGGAATAGTGCTCATATGGGATGCCGGTGTCACAGACTGCAGCTTAGCCTGCTGCACCATGACCCGAACCCCCACTTTTTTTAAAGGTTAATTTGAAAGCCAGGGTTACAGAGAGACAGAGAGAGAGAGAGAGAGAGAGAGAGAGAGGCAAATAGTTTATAACTTCTGTGCAGAATAAAGACATTGGCTTCATTTTCAAAGCAAGGTATTTAGGTGTGAGTAGAAAATGACTAACAAGTAGCTAGCTTAACAGCTGGGAACAGGCAGCTGTGATGGTCCAACGAGACCTGGATGCAACTAGTGGATGGGAGAGTTCTTTCTCCTATTAATAATAATAATAATAATAATAATGATAGTAAGGGGGGTGGGCGTTAGACACTCAAATCTCAGACTGTCCGGCTACTTTGTGCTTCCAATCTAGCTTCCTGCTAGTGTGCCTGGGAGGCTGATTGATGGGAGTACCTGGGTTCCTGCCGCCCCCCTGGGAGAGGCGGATGGAGACCCTGGCCCTTGTGGCCTTTGGCGAATGAACGGAAGGCAGACCTCTCTCTGCCTAATAACTGAATCTTTGAAAAGTAAATGTTCCTTTAGAAAAACAAGTCCCATTAGGAAATGCGGCCTGCATTTCTGAGTTCTGACCGCGTTTCAGGCGGCCCCAGGTGGGAGGTTCCTGCCGCGGGGGTACAGGAGCTGCAAACGCCTGCCTTCGGTCCGGCCCTCCTCCCTACCCTCCCGGCGCAACCCTTCCCCTACAAGGGTCCCTGCCACAAAAAGGGGCCACAAGTCCCCGCACACCAGGCGCCTTCGCCCGCGGACCGTGCGCGCAGCCAAAGAGAGCCGAGACTCCACCTGCAGCCTCAGTGCTAAACAGGGCGGGAAGTCCGCGCTACTGCGCCGGCGCATCCCTGGGCGCGGCTGCGCATGCGCGACGCCGCGGCCCGCGAAGCGGAAAGGCACTTACGGTAGGGGAGTTGCAGCTGCGCTACCGCAGGCAGGAAAGGGCGAGGAAAACATACAAGAAGCCAGCGATGACTGGCTGGCTGACATGATTGGCTGGTGGGAAGAGCCCGTCCGGAGCGTGCCTCTGAAGGGGGCGGGGACTTTATGCAAACTAAACTGGACCTGACGCGGGAACGCGCCTGGACTTCAGCCAATCAGGGGCTATGGGAGGCGGAGCCCGGAGAAGTCTCGCGGGAGGAGCTTCGCGGGCGCGGGAGGCTGGCGGACGCTTCCGGGCAGTGGAGCCCCGATGCTGTGAGGGCTGAGGGTGGGAGGCTCTCCTGGCAGAGCCCAGGCTGGCGATTCCCTGCGCTGCAGGTGTGGGGCCTGGAGCGCGTGGGGCGGCCGCCGGCTTTCTCAGAAGCCTGCAATCTGGGGCCCGTTCTGAATCGGAGGGTCCGGAGTGGCGCCAGTAACTGGTTGCTCAGCCGAGGCGCAGTTTTAGGCCCCCAGGGCTGGGGGTGGGTGTTGGAGCTGCAGCGCACTGGCGTCCACGGTGTCGAGTCACCTCGCGTTTGCGGGGGCACGGGATGGCCCCAGGTTAGGCGCGCCCCTTTCCCTCGGCGTCTCTGGGGTCTTGGGCACGCGCGCCGGCCACGGGCCCTACCCAGGAGGTCTGAGGGCGCCGCGTGCTGGGGCGCACGGAGGCAGTTGGAGTCGGGGTGACGTCCGACGAGTTTGCTTTTCTCTGCTTTGGGACCGCGCTGGCTTCTCCCGGATTACAAGCACCCTAGTAGAGTTCCTCAGATCTCTTGGGACAAGCTGGCTGGGTTCCTTTTATAGGCCGTTTCTCAGGTGGGCAGAGGGACAGCCGTATCATCCATCCACTGGTTCACTTCCCAGACAGCGCAAGCGGCTAAGCCAGGAGCCTGGAACTCCATCCAGGTCTCCCACGTGGGTGGCAGGGGCCCAGGCACTGGGGGCACCTTGCGTTAGCTGGGATCCGGGCCGGAGGTGGGGCAGCCGGGGCTCCCGTGGGGCTCACGTGGGATGCAGGCGTAGCAGGCGGTGGTTTAACCCGGTGTGCCCCAATTCCCGCCCCGTGGAAAACTCACCTTATGGTCTGCTTCGTCTGATACTAACAGCTGGAACATTTCTTTTGGTTGGAGTTTGCACAGTATTTTTCTCTTGTTAACAGTGAATATATAGTTGTTTTTAGTACATATGATATAGTATATAGTTTAAGTTTTTAAATGTATATTTACGTTTATCTGAAAAGCAGAGTGACAGATCTTCCATGCACTGGTTCACTCCCCAGATGCCCACAGCAGCCCAGGCTGAGTTTGAGAAGCCGTGTCCGGGTCTCCGTATGGGTGTCAGGGACCCAAGTCCTTGAGCCATCATCTGCTGCCTCCCGGGCTGCACCTTAGCAGGAAGCTGGATCAGAAGAGGAGAAAAGACTGCGACCCAGGCATTCCAATAATGGAAGCCGGTGCCCCTGGTGGTTGCTTAACCTGCTGCTCCACAGTGCCCACCCTGTGAAATTGTATTCTTTAATGTCGTCTTAGAGTCTTTGTATTGAAATGGAATGCTTAGGTGCACTTGTTAGCATTTAACAAAGCGTGACTTCAAGCCTCCAGGACACAGGCTACGCCCCACCCCAGCCAGCCCTTAATTTCTTGGCTCTTCTTTGAGAGAATTTGGCCTTAACAAACTGCAGGCTGCTTTGGGAGCTTTTCCTCTCCCAGAACTTTGTAATGACCCAACCACATTCATGATGGAAGCAGCTGTGGTCTTGTTTTTGGCAGCTTTTATCTGTGTCTAATCACTGACCGAGACAACTTATCCAGGTTAACAGTTGGGCAGAAGCTCTGCTTCCTCTTTTTTAAAAAAGATTTATTTTATTTATTTGAAAGAGTTAGAGGGAGAGACAGAGAGGTCCGCCCTCCATTGCTTCACGCCCCGGAGCTGAGCCAATCCGAAGCCAAGAGCTTCTGGGTCTCCCACGTGGGTGCAGGGGCCCAAGGACTTGGGTCATCCTCCACTGCTCTCCTAGGCCACAGCAGAGAGCTGGATCGGAAGTGGAGCAGCTGGGACTCGAACGGCGCCCATATGGGATGCTGGCGCTGCAGGCCAGGGCTTTAACCTGCTGCGCCACGGCGCCGGCCCCTCTTGGTTCCTCTTTCTGTGGTAATGCCTCACCAACCTTCCCGAAGCAACCTCGGTGGTATCTGTCAGAGTTGATCCTTTGGCGCTGATGCGTGCTGCCAGCAGCCTCCTGGTGGCCAGTGGAGGCTCACAGGGCCGTGAAGTTTCTGGGTCTTCCTCAGTCTGGATGGCATGGCAGCTGCTGAGACAAAAGAAAGCTATTTACAATTTAAAGTCAGTTTTTCTATATTGCTGCTTCCGGTTTATCCCCATTTTT